TTGTTACCACCAAATTTGGTGGTTTCATCTGAGAACCCCAAATTGGTTCATGGCTGCCTATTCATGGTTCTTTTGTGAATTGGGTTTTTCTAATTTGCAATTTGATACATTAAACATGTTGAGCCAAAGTTGAGGCAGAGGATGTAGGGTGGTGGAGCCTCCAATTGAGACTTTGGTTTTGGATTTTGCTAGTTTGACTTTTGGGGTGGATGGAAAACACCGATGTGGAATGATGAGAAGGAGAAAGAATAGGAGAAGATGTATCTTGTGACCAGGACCCCATGTCCTGTAAAGCTGAATTTCACCTACTAAATGGACGAGGTAGCGAGATGAGGAGAGTGGAAATGTACTGTACTGTCTCTCAATAACTGCGATGATTCCATTTGCCTTATAAAAAGAAATGTGATGACTCCACTCCAGAGTTTCCTAGGGAGACTAAATGGGGCTGTAGTTGAAATAATAAACGGTAAAAATTGTAAAACTGTTATAAATGGTTAATTACTCCTCAATTGAATTGTTCGTGAGTTTATCAGTCGAAAGGATTTCACTTTTTCTAAAAAAAAAGTGTTATACTAATAACTAAAGTAAATCATGAATAAGTTTATGTTATGTAATTATGATTGATAAAATAAATATTACATTACCTTATGTAAGTATAAAATTGTTGAAAAGCCAAATGTACGAACTAAGTGTATCCCCCACATGTCATATATTTGTCATAGTAGCTTGCTGCATACCAGATACCTGACCAGGTACCTGTACCCACACTGAAGAGTATTGTGTATCAGGTAATTATGATTTGACCTGTTATGTTGATATGCTAACATCACTTGTTTTAAGACTTCTGATATGCTAATATACCAGTTGGACTTTTATTTCAACAAGAACCTTTTTCTTGTTGGACTTCTGATATATCCAGTAGATATGGACAGGGGTTAGTTAGTTTTATGTTATGTCCTGGTAATGTGCCATTTACCTCGCTTTTAAACTATTTATAAGCATCAGCAATGCTTGAATAGTTGTACTTGTACAATCTTTTTTCAGGAAGTCTGTTTAATCTTAAAAGTATAAGTTCCTCATTGCTTGCGGTAAAAAATAAATTTCAAACAACTATTAAAGTTGGATATTGTTAAGTTGTGTTTGAGCATCGGAGAGCATCAGTATTATAGGTGCTGTGCTGCATTGACTTGCTAGTAAGAGGGATTATTATGCAAGGTTTTTAATGGAGTCGCATGAGACTTAATCTTACAGGCGGCCTATGTTCTTTGTTTTCGATTTTGAGTTGAAGTTTTAAGAAGATGTTGCGTGTGGTTTCAATATTTAGGGATGATTGCTATTTATCATATCATGGATTTCGTACTCCGCTGTGATACTTAATGTAGAAAACATTTAGAAGGGTCTTTGGTTTGAGTTTGTCAAAGATAAAAGGCATTTAACAGAATTAAGTCTGCCTTTTGGCAGCATATTTTTTGTGAGTTAATGTAGAAGCTACTGTCAAAGCTAAAATAGACATGTTAACTAAAGACCTTTTTGTGCCCATTTAGCAAACCACCAAAATAATTTCCTCCCACTATGACACATGTTTCATTATAATGTATCTGGCTGAAATTTATGTGGACGCGTCCAAATTACGTTTAACAGTTCAATAGTAATTGTGTCAAAAATCAATTATACTCAACTTAAAAACGCGTGGTGCCATCTCTGGTTCTTTGCGATTGAGTAGTAAGTATTTTCATACCATTTTATTTTGCTAATTGATCTATGATTTAATCTCGTGAAAGTTAGGAGGAAGTGTCCAGTTTCAGTTTTAACAACCAAAATTGATACTTAGGGAAGTACAATTTGGAGTCCGGTGAAAAGTGTCCTGAGAAAAGAAGAGGTTGAGAGAGATAATGGACCCCTTCTGTGTTACTTCTCTCAATGTAAAGGCCCTTTATGCCACAATTTTACTATGGATTCTGTTATAGACTTTTTACGTGGATTTTCCTTCATCTCTAAATGTATGAACTAGTCAATATGCCTTACAATGCAATATGCTATGTTGTTGTATAATTATGGAAAACAATCTGGGAGTTTGACCTTTCTGATTGGGAGTATGGTGCCTTTTCATTCTGAGGAATGAGCATTTTTATTTTAATTCTAAATAATTTTATTGTTATCCAGTGCCAATGATCACTCCCTCTTTGTAAGCAAACACAAGATTTTCTGATACATTTTCATTATATACGATATGGCTCCTTGTTTCAATAGCATAAGTGAATTCTCATCTGACCTGCACAATAAGCAATTTGAGTTTCTTTTTCTCACTTCTAACAAATAGAGATTTTGACTGTAGGAAAAAGGAGACATCAAAATGAAAGAGGTATCGAGCAAACTACAGAATGTCTGACATGCCTAGAGTCGGTGGTAAGAAGGACTATCTTAATTTGGCAATTTATTTATCCTTGAATTGTATGCATAATTCCTTTTAACTTGATGATTCGTATCATTATGCAGGATTATTTCAAAGTGAGGTGTGAAGACACTTACTTTGAGTATATTTATACCTTTGTATTTACATGTGGAGTAGAATGAATGGGTCTGATATATCAAAGTTATTCGATCAACATCCATTGATATGATTCAATGGTTATTTTCCAACTGCTGCCAGTTGAGTCTGATTGGACAGTCTCTGCTACCTGTAATCTAATTACCAAGTTATTTTCTGGGGCAAATGTTTTGTTTTTGTGTTGTCGTCTGGGTCATGTTTTTGGGCTTCTCTTGATGGCAGGGTTGTCTCGTAAGCATTTTATTTGTCCTGTTTTGGAGTAAACTCTGCGAAAACCCTATGCAAGCATACTGATTATTAGATATTGAAAAGAAAAACCATTAGTTATCCGTAGTTAACTAGTTTTCATCTCACCGTTTAAAGATCATAAAGGTGTATGCATAAAGGGTTTATGTTGGGATCCTGTGTGCGGAGAATCTTAGTTATTAAAACGCAGGAGTGGAGATTGGTATCCTGAATTTGGGATATTAAAAAACTTAATTTAAGAGATAATTAATTGAAATTAAGTAATATATATATATATATATATATATATATATATATATACACACACACACACACAAAGTTAAACTATTTTTATTCAAATCTAAACAAAAGTAGGTTTAGTTCAACTATTTTTTATTTGTTCTTGACGTCATTTTTATGAGTTATAAATGTAGGTTTTAGTTAGTAAAATTAAATATAAGTTTCTAAGCTGTAGAGGTTGTTCAAAATTGCTTAATATTGAGAATGTATTTCAGTATATTAATTACATTGTACGAAAAGTGACTACTTTTTTTCATATTTTGTGATGAGAAATTCTATTTTTCATTAATGGTGCGTATCAAGCACATGTTCATTGTGATTTGGGCCACTCAAAAAAGGTGCCCTGACCCAATCCTTCATAAGGCCCAACACTTTCCCCATTCGAATAAGTTTTTACCAGTCTGAGATATTGCTTCCTGCACCCATCTATTTTTAAAATCGGATTGAATTCCGGAATTTTCCGAATAACAATTCCGAAACAGAATTTCCAGAAGAAAATTTTGGAAACGAGATTTTCAGAATAAATTTTTTGGAACATTTGAAATACATTTTGGAACACATTTTTCTGAACAAATGTCCAGAATGTAGCATCTGGATCATGTATAATATTTTCCAAAATGAATTTTCCAGAACATTGAAATGAGTTGTGAAAGAACTTCTCAGAAAATACGAAATATTTTTTTGGAAAAATTTTTTCGGAATGGATTCTCTCAGTATTTTGTTTTTTCTTCTGTCCGGTGGTGGCGGTATCAGTGACAATGGGCTCTGGAATATCAGTGACAATGGGCTCTGGAATATCGAAAGAAATTGAAGGCATTTATAGCAGGAAGCAACTGTCACCCTATACCTCTTTTATCATGAATTAAGATTAAATATGATTTTCATTCGTAAACTATTTAAAAAAGTTATACTTTGTTTTTAAATCAAATTATATACTTATTTGAATATATTTTTTATAAAGGATTTTAGTCCCTCAACTATTAAACGTTTTTATTTTTAGTCTTTCACTTAAACTTTGTACATTTTAATCCTTATCTATAAGAAAATTGTATTTTTTCATTCGGTATAATTAACGGTGTTAATTTTTGTGTGATGTGACTAACAGTGTGTCACGTGAAAGCAGGTCAATTCAAATTTTGTTTTTTACTCTAATTAAAATTAAAAGAAAAAACATTGGTAAAACCTGAAATTTTTTTTTCTTGTTTCTACCGGTACTCTTTTCTTCTCCATCTTCAACAGTTATGGTCAATACATTTCTTGACTTCTACATCAAATCCTTTTTGCGCGTTTCTTTCTTCTTTTCTCAATTTTATTTTGTTTTTCTTTTATAACACTTTTATAAAAGAAATATTATTTTTTACATATTTAACCCTTTTTTAAGATAATGTTATATTTCATAATAAATTTGTACATAAAATTTATAGAAAAAAACTTTATATTATTTTTATAAAATATTAATGAAAATACATGCATTACATACATGAATGTTATTTTTTTTATGATAATAAAAGATCACAAAATTATTATTGTTGTTATTATTATAATTATTAAATTAAATATAAATAATTTTAATGATTTTATTATAAATAATTTTTTATTTTATAGGTAATTTTTTAATTAAATGAAATAATTAAATTTAAAATAGTGATCACATTAAAAAAATTTAAATTTAAATAAATAATTACTTAAAATAATTATTTTAATTAAAAAAGTCGTTTAAAAGATAAAATTGAAAAATAAACGTGAATAACAAAAGAATCATAGATATATAGGTATAAATACTGATCAGATAAATATATAGTTTAATTTAAAAATACAATATAATTATTTTAAAAATAATTTAAATATAAAAATAATATTCAACCTTTTATTTATATAATTATGAAAAAAAAAACCGAATAAACATGGCGCGAGGCAACTAAAACCTCGCTTAAAATCGAAATCAGGGCCCAAAAACCCTAGTAAAGGTGGTGCCGGCTCTCTTCTCTTCTTCTACCTTCGTTTCTATTGTCTTCTCTTTTCTTCTTTCTCCCTCACAGTTCCAGTTGCTGCCTATAACTCAGCGTTTCGGCAGCATGATACGCGGAGGGCTAAACTATGTTTCTTCCGCTCCTGCCTTTTCTAAGGACGGGAAGCGCCTTTTCGTTTGCAGCGGCACTTCCGTCTCCGTCTTCAGCACCGCCACCGGCTCCCTCGTTTCCTCACTCCAAGGTCACACCGCCCTCGTTACCGCAGTCGTCGTGGTTCCCACCACTGCCTCGTTGCTATCATACTGTTGGACTGCCTCTGTCGACGGAACAATTCGCCAATGGGATTACTCCGTTCCCGAATGCGTCAAGATTCTTGACCTTCGCTTTCCCATTTTCTCCTTGGTAAAACATTCATTTATTAATTCTTGGTGCCTATTCAGAATTTAAATGCGAGTAAAGGAAACTAGTGTTTAGTTTTGATACATTGTATATCCTATACAGGTGGTGCCTTCGGCATTGTCCACTAGGGAAGAAAAAGATGCCAAGTCGTCGCCCAATGTTATTGCTTACGTGTCTGTTGAAAGTATAAATGCACAGGACAATCGCCCCAAGCCACGTTTTGGACAGATCAGGAAGTGTAATTTGACCAACTTTCATACTGTTAGCAGCCTAATATTGAGAGAGGTGATTTTTTTCTTAAGAATGAATGATTGCATTATGAAAGGTTGGACTGTGAAAAACTCAACCTCAATGAGCGCATTCTGCGCACATATTTCGTGGGAGTATTTGTTTCTTTTTATTTCTTATTGTGGAACAACACCCGTGAATTAAAGGCATTTTTAAGGAAAAATAATGGAGGGGGAAGGAGGCGAACGAGCTATAGTCAAATTTTACTTCATTTGGACTGCTTATTTTATATTTGTTATTTGGGAACATTGTAATTGAGAACCCCCGCCTGAAGGTTGTGGTTTTCTAAACAATGTCTACTTGTAGTAATATGCCCTTGAATCAGAAATGGTGTGATTTCTGTTCATTGGTTCATCCTTGGACTTTGTCAGTCAATATGTATGAGAATGCACTTTAATTATTAACATTTTTTGTTCTTTCTTAAGTACATCCATGCTTTCTCACTTTTTGACAGACTGAACAACCAGAATCTCTAACCATTAGTCCCTCGGGAAAATTTTTGGGTATAAAAGACAAGCGAAAACTTCATATATGGAAAGTTCCTAAAATGGATTCTGATTCTGCTGTGTCTAAGAAGATTACCCTGCATCACACAAAGACCTTTACAGTTCTTGCATTCCACCCTACAGAGAGAATTGTGGCTGCCGGTGATGTAACTGGAAGAATTTTAATTTGGAGAGGATTTGGAGCTCAGAAATTCCTCAACAGTAGTGTATTAGTGAATGGAAGACCGACATATAACGATGATAAACCTGGGGTGAGGGAAAATGATGATGCTGAATCATGTTGCACGTGGCATTGGCACTCTTCTGGAGTGAGTCATTTATCTTTCTCTTCAGATGGAGCCTACCTCTACTCAGGTAAAATTATATTGCCTATAGTAAATGAAAGGAGTCATTGAACTGGGTCATATATATGTTCGAACTTTGTTATGCATGTCGAGCATGTAATTTATTGTTTATATGACTTCATTTGATATCAGGTGGGAAGGAAGGGGTTCTTATGCTTTGGCAGTTAGACACAGGAAACAAGAAATCTTTACCAAGAATTGGGTCTCCACTTCTTTATTTTGTAGATTCTCCTGATTCATCCCTCTCTGCAGTAAGGATTACTAATATTTAGTTGAACATATAGAATTAGAAGTCTCGTGGTCTGTCCTGACAACTACTTCTTTAAATTGTTTAACTAATTAAAGGCCTGCAGTTAAGTGCAGATAATCAAAATACATATATTGAAAAAGGCTTCAATGGAAAATAATAAAGTCTTTCTGTAATCAGGTAGTTGCTAGATTGTTTCTTTGTCTTCATATTTTCTGCCAATCAAAACATGTACTTGTCCTCTTATACGCTGGAAAAAAACCACTGATTTTGATTCTATAGCTTCATTTTAGAAATTAGTGTTAATTGCGAAAGTTGAACGACAACCATTTAGTTCTCTAAAATCGCTTGTAAGCTGAAACATATGGCTAGTTTAGAAATATTTTATTTTATGAGGTTAATTTTTTAACTCATTTCCACCTCAAACTTTTCTGAGTATTAGAGTAGTTTGTAATCTTGATAATTTTCGGTACTGAGTCAGTTTGTTGTTATATGTCTATTTGTTATAGTTAGTTACTTGGTTACTTTGTTTTGATAGGTCAGTTTGTTAGTCTGTTAGTTTACATTTTTTATTGGCTATATGAATCCCATTTTGTTGACTTTCAAGAACACAGTTACCTTTCATATCTTTAAAGTTTTCTCTCTATTATCCTTTTCTGAGAAAGTATAAAAACTTCCATGCTTGGACATCTTTTCTTTCTAAAAAAAATCCGGATGGAACAACTTGCATTTATGTCAGTTTATTAGTATTTAGCCATGTGCTTGCATTTACCTTTACTTTTTCTTTGTGTGTGCAGCCCCCTTTGTCTTCTCAAGATATATGTGAAGGTCTTTCTAGCCGAGTTTCCTTTGACTGCACTTCTGGCTCAGTGGCTGTACAGAAGAAAACTATCGCATCCACAAATTTCTACAGGTGTGTAATCGGGATTATGAGGAGTACCTTATTGCTTTTTCTTTTTAAATTAGCCCATATCAATTTTAATGTTGGAATTTGTTTTTCTGCAGGTTCAAGTATGTGAAAGAAACCATCAACCAGTTGATGAGATCACGGTATGTGCTTGTTACATGTAATTCTTCTAATTTGATTTTATAAATTCACAATCTTATTGTGACATTTTGTCTCGGTTTATAAAGGATTTGATTGATGATTAATTTGTTAAAAGGAATATTGTGGTTACAGCTGGTGGTGAGCTTGGTGGAGCTGTCCATCGATGGCTCTATGATGGGTACAGTGGAAATCAAACTTCCTGAAGATGGAATAGGAGGTCTTGTTTGTTTGAAGTTCTGGGATTTGGATGATAACAGGAGATTTTCCAGTATCCACCCTTATTTATGAACATCAAAGGTTTGTACAGGATTTTTTCATTGATAAAATTGAAAAATCAAGCTGTTCAGTGGTTATATCAATGGACTCCTAATGTAATG